TAGCTGGATTCTCATTGCTCTTAGAAAGAAATCCTTTTGCAAAATCCCAGTTGATTCATTTAAGAATTCCGTGCAGCAGTTCTAAACCATTACCACTCTTTCCAGTTATGCTTTCCTCAAATTTCAAAGAATGGTCTTCCTTTTCAGTTCTTTGAGAAAACGCAGCCAGGTAAGAACACCTTAGCTCTCTTCCCTACCAGCAGATTTACTTTATTTTTCCATCCCTTCTTCCTCAGGACAAGTGTTCTAGAGTTGTTGGGATTCTTATCCAGCCCCATGAGTTTTTGGCAAACTGCCCCAATTTCAGTGGCATGTCTTCTGCTTGAGCCTCTCTTCTCCTAGTGGCACCTTTTCTTCAGCCTATGTGTCTACTCCATCTTCCTAGGACTCATCATACTTGAACTTCCCCCATTCCTCAATCCAGTTCCTGAAATTTCACATGGTTTATAAATCTCCTTTCTCCTTGCCCTTCTCCTCCTGTGTCTCTGTCTAAGCATTCTGTTTCTTCTATGTCTTTGCCTGACCTATTCTTATTTCTTTTCTTTCATTTTCTCATTCTCTCTCCCCATCTCCCATCTCACTTTAATTTTATATACATTTGTTCCTATGGTTTTTCACCATCTTGTCACAGTTCCAGGTCTGTTCTGTGTTTCCAGCTTTGATCGCTCTCTTGAATTACAGACTTAAATAGATCACTGTCTATTGCATATTTATTCATGGATGGCTGCCAAGCATCTCATGCCCAGTACATTGGAAAAACAGTTGAAACGTCATACCTTTGGGATCAAAGATCTGAATTTAAGATTCTGACATTTAATGAGATGGTAAGCAGGATATTTGACTTCAGTTTCCTCATCACATACTGTCTTGTAATTCCATTTCACAAGCACATTTATCCACCCAACTATCCCACTTGCCTGCATTATCTCACCTATTTGATCTCCCTGTTTCCACCTTCACATCACTGAAGTCTGTTCTCAATACAGTGTTCAGAGTAGAGTAATCCTTTAAGAAAGTTAGACTGTGTCTCTCTGCTTACAACTTTCCAGTGGTTTCCCCTTGACTTTTCATGAAACTCAAAAGCTTCTTCTGATGCTCTCAACCCCATGTTCCCTGATGCCCTGACTTCAGCTCTCCCAACCTTTCTCTTTTTCTCCAGCCACTCTGACCTCTTTAATGTTCCTTTAATTTGCTGGGCACCCTCTTGTCTCAGGTCCTTATCATGTGACCTTTAGCACATGACCTTTTATTTAAATGGATGTCACTCTCACCTTCTAGAAGCCTTTATTCATATGTCATGTCTGTAACATATTCTCTGACCACCTTATTTAAAATTGTACCTCCATCCCCCCATCTCTAACTCTTAATCCCCATGTCTTTTATACTTTTCTCCATAGTGTTCATCTTCTTATAGACTATAAAATTAACATTTACTTTATTTTGTTTCTTTCTTCCCACTATTATAGAAGCTCCATGATGGCAGATTTCTGCATCATTGTTGTTTTTTTCATTTTTGTATCACTGTCTAGAATAGTAGAAACTTAGTAGTATTTGTTGAGTAAATAAATGAATGAACAAATTAAGGTATGGGGACTGGAAGTGTTTTTTGAGCAAAAAAAAAAAAAAGCCATATAAAATACTAACTATTCCCTCTTTTATTCCTGCTATTACTATTATTCTACTGCCCCCATGATGATACTCACATGCTCATTTACACACACACACACACACACACACACAGTATATATATAGAGAGTCTCCTCTTTAGTCCCCACTACTTTAGCTCAACTAATTGAACTTTTCTCTAGACAATTACAATTGTCTCCCAGCAGATGACTTTGTAGCATATTTTACCATAAACACCCCTTCTTAAGTACTTTTCCATGACTCCAAATTATCTACAAAATGCTTCCTATGGTAATTAAGGTTCTTCATTACTGACCCTGACCTATGTTTTTGAAATTCTTTCCATCACCATAAGTGGTTCTTTATGGTCCTTTTTATTTCTTCATACTTTCAACAAGTACTTATTGATTATTTACTGAGTCAGGCACTTACAATGGCATCTAATAAGGCTATCTCTTTCCACCCTCTGCTCATAGCAATTTCTTATAGTTTGTGAGGAATGAAGGAAGAATGAAACCCAGCATCTTGAGACCATAGATCAAATGCAGAGTAGCTGTAGGTACACAATGAACATCCATTCTGATTTTTCTGTAATAGACTTAGTTTATACCTCTTGCTCAACTATTAATAAGTCTTCCTTAACCCTCAGAATTCTCCCAGACAGGTGACAAATTATGTGACCTCTTTGTCTATAATTGAAGTATTTTTAATTTAACCCATATTCTTTCCCCACAGTAACTACTAACATTATGTGACAGGGTAAAGTAAAATTTTAGCCTCCTTCCTCAAGCATTGGAACATACTTATAAATACCACACATAATCTTTAGTGGAGAAAACCAAGTCTTAAAACTTGAATGTCATTTCAATTTTAATAGACATTTTTTTTTGTCTCAAACACATTTTAAAGTATACTGCCTTAGCAATTTTGTTACTCTACTCCTTGTCTGGAATCTTCTATATTTACTGGCCATTTATCCAAATCATAACCATCTTTAAAGCAATGCTTACATCCCCAAGCTATTCCTTGTATTTGTTTCCATTTGTCTCTACCTGTGTTCTCTTTTTATAGCAGTGATTTTCTATATCATCATTTAGCAACTTTTTATATACAAAATACTTTTCTCCTGTATCTGTTGACAGATCTAGAGCCAAATACAGAGTATGATCAAGTGACTTACTATAAAAAACAACAATTATGATAGCAGTGGTAATGAGTGTGGTGTTGATCATGAATTTATTAAAAAATATAATAGGATAAGAAAAAATAAGAATTTGCAGGAAATATCTATAATTTGAGGGTGGAAAAAATAAATTATATACACATGCCTATACATTATAGATGTGTTTGTGAGTTTGTCTGTAACGTGTATTTATTGAAAGTTATGTTGGGGCCCAGGAGAAGAGATTTAGGGAGAGAAAGGAAAGATATACCATATTTTATCAAACCATTAAGTGGGAGATGCACCATCATTTTGTCTATTGCTAGGGAAAAATATCAATTAAGCTATAGTCTAATCCTTTCACATCACTTAGAATTGTTATTTGATATATAGCTGACCTTTGAACAACACTGGTTGTACTGCTCAGGTCCACTTAAACACAAATATTTTTCAATAAATATACTGGAAATTTTTTTAGAGATTTGTGACAATTGGCAAAAATATTTTTTCTCTAGTTTACTTTACTATAAGAGTACATTATATAAAATATATAACATACAAAATATGTGTTAACTGTTTATGTTATCAATAAGGCTCTGATCAATGCTAGGCTATTAGTAGTTAAGTTTTTGGGAAGTCAAAAATTATATGCAGATTTTTGACTGCATAGGAGTCAGTGTCCCTAACCCCTGCATTGTTCAAGGGTCAGCTGTATATTGAAAGAACTATTTACTGATAGATTTTTCTTATCTTGAATCATTCCTATACATAAACAACAGAAGTGTAAGTGATATCAAATGGCTGAGGTGTTCCTAACACTTCTTCACATTTAGAGATCGTCAATCCAAGAAACATTCCTATTTTGGACACATTAAAATATAAAAAATAAATAATCTATTGAATGGAGTCACACGGTGTCAATAAGTATATTACAAGAAAACAACATCTGATGAGTTTACTAGGACTTGAGAAAAGGCTACTAAATATTCTAAAACACTGGAAGGAAAATAATGGACTTTTTTTAATACAACCAACTGTGGAAACCTGAGTTAAAGCAAAGCTTTACTGACATTCACTGTCATTCTTGTCCGGGAGCAGCACTCAGTTGGGAAGTCACAGCAAACAAAGAAAACATTATAATATTGGATATCTAACTGGTGTAGAGACATGAAGCTCCAGTATCCAGTTAAGAACTGAATTACTCAGAGATGCAGTTTGAGTACAAAATTTAACCTAGACTGATTTTTATTTCTCTTGGAGCAGAGAAGGAGACTAAAACTTCTTTGCTTAAGAATGCTTGCTTTGGACCTAAGTGTCCATCAGTAGATGAATGGATAAAGAAGTTGTGGTACATATACACAATGGAATATTACTAAGCCATAAGAAGAAAACAAATCCTACCATTTGCAACAACATGGATGGAGCTAGAGGGTATTATGCTCAGTGAAGTAAGCCAGACAGAGAAAGACAAGTATCAACTGATTTCACTCATCTGTGGAGCATAAGAACAAAGAAAAAACTGAAGGCAAAAAACAGCAGCAGACTCATAGAATCCAAGAATGGACTAACAGTTACCAAAGGGAAAGGGACTGGGGAGGGTGGGAGGGTAGGGAGGGATAAGGGGGAAAATGGGGAATTACGATTAGCACACATAATGTAGTGGGGTGGGGACATGTGGAGTGCAGTATATACAGAGAAGACAAGTAATGATTCTATAGCATCTTAGTAACTGATGGTCAGTGACTGTAATGGGGTATGTGGGGGGTACTTGATAATAGGTGGAGTCTAGTAACCATAATGTTGTACAAGTAATTGTACATTAATAATATTAAAATAAAAAAATAAAATTAAAAAATTAAAAAAATAATGCCTGCTTTGGATCAATATCTATAAAACCTACTTTTATAGATATAAGGTATATCTATATGCCTTATCCATTATGACAAAGCCTCCAGTCAAAACACAGACAGAATTAACTCTTTCCACAGTAGCTTCTGTGGGACCACGACAAAGTCAATTTTATTAAAAGTGTGTGCCTGAGCTTAGTGGTGAAACCTCAGAAAATAATTGGTTTAACTTTGCTGCTGAAAAGAAAGTGTGGATCACATTCATGGGCCTTCTGTGTATTGCTTTCTCACATTTCATCTTTGTGCTGCCCTTGTGTTCATGTTCAGATCATTCATATTTTATTTTGAAACATTTTCATTTTCAGATCAGCAGTTGTGTGATCCTGGTGAATTTCTTTGCCACGATCATGTGACTTGTATCTCCCAGAGCTGGCTGTGTGATGGGGACCCTGACTGCCCTGATGATTCAGACGAGTCTTTAGATGCCTGTGAGTAGAAAGGTTCTCCTGCCATTTGGATTTACCTTACATGTGAAACTGAATATCAGTTGTTTTGACAGATGACTGCTGTTCTAGTTGATTCTTTTTTTTTCCCAAACACCCCAAAAACTTGAAACATTTTGTTTGTGTTTCCTTAAAGGACCATGCAAATGAGAGCATAACATGCAGTTTTGTAGTATGAATTAAGGGAAGAAAAAACAAGGTTAATTATTTCAATGTGATAGTACTAGAAAAAAGACTTAGATAAAAAAATCCTTTTAATATAGCACTTAAAAGGAATAAGATTCTGTCAATGATTTGTCTCACACATTTTGAGACAGAAGAGCCTATAGAAGAAATAGTAAAGTAATCAAGCTTTAGCTCCCATATAATTATCTCTTAATATCTAGGGCACTGCACAAATCTGAACATGTTTTCTTTTGAGTCTGAAAGATAAAAACTGTACTTATCCATCCATACAGTGAGGATCTTTTCCTTTATAACATCAGATTCAGAAGCCTTTACTATGTGTGGATTCTGATTTCATCCCTAACACTGTATCTAACTTGGAGCCCACTGAGGGCTTTGCCCACATGAAAATGCTGCTAAAACAAAATTATAAATAATAATGGGACCACAGCTAAACCTGCTACACTTCATTTTAAATACTCACTATTTTAAGGAGTTTGAAGAGGAGCCCCCTAAATTTTGATATTGATATTTCTAGCACTTCTAAGTATCAATCTGTGCTCCCCATGCAACTGGGTATATCAGCTTATCAATAGCATCCTCAAAGCTACTACGTATTCTGTGAGGTCAGAGTGAAAAGAAAATCCATCATCCTTATTGCTTGATATCATAGAGGTAATTATTATTGATTCCACTTTCCATTTTTATCTATTTGTTTATAAGGCAGACAAAACCAATATAAGTTTTGATGTAAATCTTCTTGTTAGGAAGCAGAGGCAGAACTTATTTATTTTGTGTGTGTTTGTTACTGTTTTTAAAGTTTCTTGACATACGGCTACTTGAATGTTTGCATTTTTACTTCTTTACTCTGAAGCGATTGCTTCTTCCATAGGAAGAGGTTATGGCATGAACTACATTTGTAATTTCCTCAGTTTTCCCAGTTTAATTATGAAAACCTTTATTAGACACCTGTAGAATAGAAAAGGTTCCAGGAATGATGAGAAAAAAATATATTAATAGAAAAAAACTCTAATAGATAAATAAGGTGGTATGGTAAATCCATGCAAAGGAATATTACTTGGCAATAAAAAAGAATGAGGCACTAATGCATGCTATGTAAATATATCTTGAAAACATTCTAAGTAAAAGAAAACAGTCACTAAAAAACACATATTTTATATTTCATTTATTTGAAAGATCCCCAAAAGGCAATCTATAGAAATAGAAAATATGTGAGTGGTTGCCAGGGCCTGGAGGGGTGGAAGGCAATGAGGGATGACTACTAATTAATATGGTATCTCTTTTCTACTTTAAGGGTAATGAAAATGTTCTAAAATTAGACTGCTGTGATGATTGCACAACTCTGTTAATGTATTTTAAAACACCCATTGTACATATTAAATAGGTGAATTCTATGATACATGAATTACATCTTTAAATGGCTGTTTAAAAATGGAGAAAAAAAGCCTCAATATTATGCCAGTGGGTGCAGATGGCATTGTAATGTGAAGATAGTAATAAATGCTCTCGTCATGAAATATATAAATAGCAGGACCCAAATATGTGGGACTTACATTCCACATACATAAGTAGTGGTACTTAACTTGTTTTAAGAGTTTTGCCCAGGAGTTTTTCATAGCTGCAAGGAAGGAATGCCATGGCAAAGTCAGATTAAAGAGTTAAATTTTTGCATTCTGGTACCAGAATCTTTTCTGTCCTGATCCTCCCACTAAATTCCAGATGGGAAAAATGGTAGAGTCATGAGATAGATCTGTGGAACCTACATGCAGGAAGGCCAGGTGAAAGAAGAAATGCCATGGAAGTATGTGCCTGGCACCGTGCAAAAAGGAATGGAGAAGAAGTGTTTGGATACCCTGTCAAAGCAGGTGTTCCCTGTATGCTGGTAAAGAACAGAGAAGAGTGATATTCCCTTTGTTTTTAAAAGGCAGTTCAGTAGAAGAATCAGGCTGGAGAAGATTTATAATATAGAGGAGTAACAAGGGCCTGTATGATCAAAACTGAAGCCCAGAGAGGAAGGAGCCCTCACAGTGACTTCCAAAGTGGACAGAGGACAAATATTCCGCTCCCCCTCCCATGCCCACTCCATGCCTTTAGAAACATGGCTGATAACCGGCAGGGCTACATCACCACCGTGGGTTTGTTGGAAAAGGTGGGTCCTTCAATTCACAGAGATTAGGGGCTTTTGCAGACTGAGACCTCAAATTAGTAATTATATGTGGCTCAGTTAAAAATAGATTTTCTGCTTACTTACTTTTCAAACAAAATTCATACCTACTCAAGGTATTTTTGGCAGTTTTTAAGTATTAGTTTTCTTCCTCTCTGACAAACTTTGATAAATTTGATTAAAAAATGTTTCTTCATTTTAGCCATTCTTGTTCTATCCTCTTACATTGAAACAGAAGAATATCGTTAAAGGAATAACTAAAATTATTCTTATACAGTGGCCATGGAGCAAAACAGAAAAAGAACTATTTCTCTACCTGGGTATTTAATCTGGGCAACATATTTGGATCTACATTTAATCAGGCTGTTTCAAATAAATGGTTTCAGTAAGTACCAGCTGAAATCTGGACAAGCATGGAAAAAAAGCTTTATGAGAAACATCACATTTTTTTAAATTTAAATTTCTTCACCCAGATGTTCACTATTAACACTTTCTCTAATCATAGTGCTTTGCAATGTGTTGTTCCATGGCATTCATATGCAGTCATCTTGATCTGCATAAAATAATTGCATAATTTTATAAATTAAGGAATGTATACATTCAATGTGAAAGATAAATACCAGAAATTGAAAACCTTGAAGATTGATTCTCTAGGAAGGATAATTTTATACTCAGTGTTTGAACAAAAGTGTGTTATCATCTTTGACTTGAAAACAAAGGATGTTGTATCTATAAAAGATTAGATGAAAACATATGATTTGATACACTTAATTTTCCTAAGTCCACTTAGCCTTCAAATGCTAAGAAGACCAGTATCACAGAGAATCTATGATGATATTGTAAGAGCTCCACAATGACAAACTTCTAAAAGGAGAAAAGCTGTACTTGTCAAATGCTGATGACTGAAACCCTTTAGAAGATAACACATATGTAGAAGAAAACAAAAAATCTGGGAAATGAAGTAAAATTTAGGTATTTGAAGATCTGAGAGGTTGACACACACATGTAATCCTCCTCTTCTGAGTTTGTTTAGGCCCAGGCTCTAGGGACAATCTGTGTTCATGAGGCTAGAGTTAGATTTCCCTAACAGCATTATAGCCAAAAAAAACCCACCCAAACCCTGTGGTGTGGGATTCGCTTACTACTGAGTTTACCAAGAAACTGATTGCATTTTGGGATGAGTTTTCTAAAATATGAAAATGTAGAAATTTAATAATGTATATCCTTACATTGGACAGGAGAAATTATTATTTAGCCTTAAAAATGGAAGTCTATTTCTCTATGTTATTTGAAGTAATGTTTCAGGCGTCTGAATGGCTAACCATCTTTAGGTCCTAGGAGGCGATACATTGAAAAATCAGGAAAATCAGCACCTTTCTACTTGGTGCTTTCAATCCAGTTGTTAGTGTAGTGTTGTGTGTGATGAGAATTATAGTGAGTAGTGGAAATGTTTATTTGTGGAATGAAAGCTTGGTACCACCTGTGGCAGGGAATTCTTCTTGAAAGGCTCTTTTATTCCAAGGTATTCAAAATTTAATTCTTTCTAGGGTTTTCTGTTGAATATTTAATGATGCTTCCTTTCTAACAATCAGCTCCAGCTGATGTATATTTTCTGGGAATCTGATGTTAATATACTTAAAACTAGATTCTTCCTTTTTTAAACCAGAAAGGCATAAAAAGGAATTTTTCTCTGTTAAGTCTCTCCCCCCATTGCCCTATACTACACCCCTTAGGAAATCATCTAGAGAGTCTTTCAGTTACAGATCATGCTTAGGATATAATGACTCATTGGTCAGCAAAGGAGAATAAAAATGACCTTCAAGGCAGGCAAGATTGGCAACCTGGATAGTTGTGATAATTTGCACGTTGACTTCATTCCGCCCTGTCCTTTTTCAGCGATCAGTGAACTTTTTCTGTAAAGGTTCAGATGGCAAATATTTTAGGTTTTGTGAACCCATGAGATCTCAGTTGCCTATTCTTCTTTGTTTTTGTTTATTTGCAAAACCCTTTAGAAAGGGGGAAATTTTCTCAGTTTACAGTTAGCAAAACAACAGGCCACAGGCCAGTTTGGCCAGCAGGCTGTGGTTTGCTGACCCCTGTCATAATGTCACAGCTGAACCATATCCACCATGCAGCTGTGGATGTGGGCCTCTGCCCAGGTACTGCTGCCACAGGGAGCAGTATACCTCTCTCTTAGAGGAAGTATGTAGTGCAGAGCTGTGTGCGCACCCACTACCATACAGTGTCAGACTCAGGCAGGATGGTGTCAGCTACAAAAGCTGTGTTCTTTCTTCTATTTTTGCCTACCTTTTTATTGGTTAGGATTGAACTTGAACCCAGAACAGAATCACCAAATACAGGTTTACTTTTCTCATACGAGAAAGTTGCAAAAGTGGACAATTCAGGATTGATATGTCAGCTCCAGAATGACCCCATGTTTCCTGTCTCTTTCTGGACTGCCATCCTTAGCATGGAGTTGTCAGTCTTACAGTCAAAGTACGGCTGCCCCACCTTCACCAATAAATAATCTGTCTCAGGCAGAAAGAAGAGAAAGAGAAAAGGGAAAAAAGAAAGTGCCAGCTGAGTCTCTTTTTTCACTGGGACTCAATAACTACAAAAAGAAAACTCAGTAGAT